AGATGTAATTTACTTACTTACTTACGCCTGTTACCCCTTGTGGAGGAGCATAGCCCGCTCACCAGCATTCTTCATCCAACTCTGTCCTGGGCAATTCTTTCCAGTTCTTTTTAGTTACCATTCATCCTTTTCATATCTGTTTCTATTTCCCGTAGTAATGTGTTATTTGGCATTCCTCTTTTCCGCTTCCATTCACGATTCCAAGTTAGAGATTGCCTGGTGATGCAGTTTGGTAATTTCCTCAATGCATGCCCTATCCATTTCCAACCTCTTTTCTTCATTTCCTCTTCAACTGGAAGCTGGTTTGTCCTGCCCCATAAAACGCTGCTGCTGATAGTATCCGGCGAGTGAATGTTGAGTATTTTGCGTAAACAACTGTTTATAAATACTTGTACTTTCTTGACGATGGATGCAGTAGATCTCCACGATTCAGCTCCGTACAGTAGGACTATCCTGACGTTAGTATTGAAGATTGTCACTTTGAAGTTAGTTGACAGTTGTTTTGAGTTCCATATGTTCTTCAATTGTAGAAATGCTGCCCTCGCTTTGCCAATCCTCGCCTTTACATCTGCATTCGATCCTCCTTGTTTATCAACGATGCTTCCCAGGTACTTGAATGTTTCCACCTCTTCGAGAGTTTCGCCATCAAGATGTACCTAGCTATCTGTATTGATTTAATTATAATAACTCCAGTTAACCCAACTTGTCGAGTATCTATATTGTGCTAGTATTCTAGTTGCTAGCCGACTGTTTGTTTAGCTGGAAGATTCATTGGATGTCTTAGATACTGGAAGCAATTTTAATGATTTCTTCGATCACTCGTTGACTGGTAAACAATTCACAATTTTCAAGATATTAATGATTGCCAAATTATATCTAGCAATTTTGTAGTATAGCTATTAATCTGACTTACGGTTGCAATTCACTTTACTTAAGATGATCAGAAGAAACTTGTAAAAAATTTAGCTTTTAAGTTTTATTTTGGCTGGTACTCATCATCAGGTTGAATCTACAGTGATGTTACGCATGATATTCATAATCTAATTTGACGCCACAATACAAAGAGTTTAAACCAGATTTTATTAGTGAACTTTTGTAGCTGTGATCAACTTCGCACGGAACTGAAATAAACTAATCTCCACTTAGCAGTAATATGTTGATAAAAAAATAAACTATCTTTTCGAAAATGGTTGTGAATTTCACCTCTTATGAAACATTGCAATCATCTAAATAGACTGTAATAAAATAGAAACTATATTTCCCACAGGGTGACATCTAACGGGAACATAACAATAGAGGACTGTACAACTTCTACTTCTAGTTCAATGCTTTTTATGAGGATACTTTGAATCATTGAAACAAAATACAGTTATTGATTCAACAAGGCAGTGTCCAGCTCATCGATCTTTGATGGATATTGATGGTAATTGACTCCTTTACAACAATTTTGATCTCTGTTAGTTACGACTTCTCATAAGATAATCAGGAATCCATAACGAACTCATATCATTTTCAGAGGGGGTTTTGTGGAGATTTTAGTAACTTTATAGTCGAATTCATTAGTTAATTGAAGCTAGACCACCATGGAAAATGTGGAAGCATTGGACAGCCCTTTCATCCTATTGTGGGACTCCTCAGCAGTGCGCATCTACGATCATTTTTTTTAGATCATGCGTATGGAATGCCTCAAAAAGTGTGAAACCAAAATAAAATATCTATTTATTACCATCTTGATGTTACGGTTTTTTTTAGTTTGTGACGAAAATCCCTTTGTATTTAACTTATTTTCAAAAATGAACTGACTAGAAGTATAGTTGAGATCATGAGTCAATCGAAGCTAGACCACCATGAAAAACCTGGAAGCACTATATAAAACTACTAAAATCTCCACAACCCCCCCTTCTGACTAGAAATAGCTGTGTACATTTAAAAATCTGTCACTTTATTGTTTATCAATGTCATCGTAACTCTCATGCAAGAAGATAGGTTTACTCTTGTGAATAATTATTCATTATTTAACCGCTAGCAAAGATGGTCATCTTTGAATCAATTTTAAAAAAATTTTATTCTACCAATTCAGGTTTTGTGTTTCTATATTCATTAACATTATTTCGATAATGGTTATTACTTATTTTCATGGATACATTTTCTTTACCTCTAAACTGATATACAAATAGATTAATCACTAATGAAAAAGGGCGATAGAAACAACAACAACAACCAAGTTATTGAATTAGAATGAACAAGTTTGATATTTACGGAAGATGAATGATCTCAACGAAGAATAAAGTGATGTAGCCAGTCATTAATTATTCAAATAAATCAAAAAATCTTTTTTACCGATAACATACAAATGATACTTTTAAAAAGAAATTGGTTTTAATCAATGAAAGTAACCAAAATAAATAGGGGGGAGAATTTTTACTATATGTACAAGGCAATTTGAAGCTGAAGTTTTGCGAATAAGAAATAGCGAGGGGGTAAGTGAAAAGATGTCGATGGACAGAGAAAAAAAAAGAAGAAATGAGAGATAAAGTTATGTGACTAATTTCTTTCTTAACTATCAAATAACAAAGATCATATAGGTGTAAATAATGGATATCCATGATCACAATAATAATGATAATAAGTAATAAGATATATGTCTGGTATTCGTAACATTGAAATAATACTACTAATAATTAAACTTAGTAGAATTTTCATAGATGAAAGTATGAGTCAATTGAAGGTAGACCACCAAGGAGGCGAGGTGAGGCGAGATCGTGAAATCGCACTGCTAAGGAGTCCCACAATAGGACGAAACAGCCGTCCAGTACTTACAGGTTTTCCTTGGTGGTCTAGCTTCAATTGACTCGTACTCTCAACTATGAAAATGCTAAATCTCCACAAAACCCTTTCTGATTAGCAGAATTTCATGAAAACCAAAGGCAAAAAAACCCATTAGTTATACGAATTAACTTGACAATCCAAAAATTTCATATTTTAGAAACGATTAAACATTTTAATAGTTGAAATCGTGAGTCACTTGATGCTAGACCACCATGGAAAACTTGGAAGCACTACGTTGTATCCACTAATCACATTATCGATTATTTCATTAAGTTATACTCTGTGATACACCGTTTCACTTGACTTATAGCCAATTTATTTTAAATGAATGACGAATAGTATTGAAGAATTAAAAGAAAAATTAGTGATTTACTATTTTATTTTATCAATCAATAATTGATTTGTAGAGATTGTAGTAGTTTTAATACTTGAATTCATGAATGGATCTTAAGATAGACTATTATTGAAAACTTGGAAACACTCGACGAGGTGTTTCCAATCCTTGTCGGATGAAGAGTTATTCAAGTCAGAAAATGGATAAAGGGTTGCGCAAGATTATGGGTCGATTGAAGTTAAACATTAACACCGTTGAATACCGGCTCTGTGGTCTAGAGGTTAAGCGTTCGTGCGTGAGATCGAAGGTTGCGGGTTCGTATCTCGTGTTCGGGATCGTGGATACTCACTGTTGAGGGATCCCATACTAGAACGAAACGGCCATCCAGTACATTCAAGTTTTTGATGGAGGTCTAATTTAGGTCGACTCGTGAAGTGAACTATTAAAATAATTGATTACAAATTGGTCTGAATGTGTTAGATTTCATGAATGAAAAACAATCAATAAAGTCATTATTATCACTCAAAGAAAAAGCAACTTTAACAGGATAACACTCTAAGTCAAGTCCGATACAAAAACGTGTTTAATATATTGTCAAAGATTTATAACAACCGAACGAATAGGAGCCTTCATAAAGTTTTGATTAGAAAGATTCGAGTAGATCTGTGAAATTTAAAAATAGCTTTTCATCATTATCCACTGGTAAAAATTAGAGAAGTAGAAGGTATAATCATAAAGTACTGAACACTTGAATTCTTTTAGATTAAAACTCTTAAACAATATGTATCAATAACTCCCCAAATGGGATGGAAACCAAAAGAATTAAGTAATACAGTAAACCATTGATTAGAAATGTAGTAGGTTTCCCCAACTTTTCTATATGATAAAGAACAAACCAGATTCCATCCAGTGGAGGGAAAAATCAGGAGTAAGCGCTGAAAGTGGATAGGACACACATTGACGAGATCACCCAACTGCGTCACAAGACAAGCCCTCACATGGAATCCTAAAGGCCAAAGAAGAAGTGGAAGACCAAAGAACATGTTACTCCAAGAAATGGAGATTGACATGAGAAGAATGGACAAAAACTGGATAGAACTAGAAAGGTAGACCCAGGACAGAGTGTGTTGGAGAATTCTGGTCGGCGGTCCATGCTCCATTGAGAGTAACAGGCGTAAGTAAGCAAGTAAGTTTTACAACTTTAGTTTACTTTCTATCTAACGTGGTCACTTAGTATTACCAATGATATATTTTCCACACTTCTGAGTAATTTGGAAAATTCTAACTGATCTCAGTTAGTAATAATAACTGTTTTTAAGAAAACTACTTCTTTCTCTTGGTTTACCCTGAATGATCATTAAACAGTTCGATTTGAAAACATCTGATTCAGTAGTTGAGTATATACTGAATTTTATATATACGAGATTTCCATTACTTATTCAAAGTCCTTAGATTGATATATTTTTTCCATTGACATTAACTTATTCCATTGAAATCAATCTAATTCAAATCAATGAAGGTGATGGACAGTACGAGTGGATGTAGGATTAAAATTTAATATTAGAAGGGGTTGTTGTGGAGACTTAGTATTTTCATAGTTCAAAGCGTGGATTGGTTGGAGTTAGACATAAAAACTATGAGACGCAGGCTCAGTGGTCTATCGGTTAAGTGCTCTGGCGCGAGACTGATAGGTCCTGAGTTCAAATCTCGCGAGGCGAGGTTATGGATACGCACTGCTGAGGAGTCCAAAAATGGGACGAAACGGCCTTAAAGCAGTGCTTCCATGTTTTCCATAGTGGTCTAGCTTCAACTGACTAACGCTTTCAACTATTAAAATTTAGTGTTTGAAAACGTCACATGAACAAGAAAAAGATGATGATGATGATGATGATGATGATGATGATGATGATGATGATGATGATGATGATGATGATGATGATGATGATGATGATGATGATGATGATGATGATGATGATGATGATGATGATGATGATGATGATGATGATGATGATGATGATGATGATGATGATGATGATGATGATGATGATGATGATGATGATGATGATGATGATGATGATGATGATGATGATGATGATGATGATGATGATGATACTTATGATGACGATAATGATAGTAAAATCATCATATTGTTTGTCAATCTCTAATCTTTCAAAAGATTGGTGTTTTTATTAATCATTTACCAGGTAATGAAACACTGTAACTACACATATGACCTGACCATTTCACTTATATAAATTGACTGCAAGTATCGTCAACTTATAATAACTACTGACATAAAGAAGAACTAAACTTATGCGTGAAATGAAATATTTATTTAATAACTGACGGCTTATATGAAGATCAATATTATATTAACTGTCAGTATATCCAATTGGATATTAAAATGTTGATTATCACCATAACGTTTATCAGTAGTCAAAATGAAAATGACGGTTCCGACAAACAACGGATTCTTTATGCTGTCATATCATTTTTTGGATGTTTGAGCGCTGAAAATACACGTAGCAAAGTAGGTCTGGTAAATAGTACATAGTACAAATAGATTATTATGATGTTCACTGTACTATGACTGTAAATATTTGAGTGTGGTGCTTCGGTTACAGTGATTAACTTATATTAAGAAAACGTACTTTGTAGCCAAAAATATTATGAAAATATCCCTAAAGCTTTGTTATTCACGTTGTCTAGTATCATAATACCAGACTTTGACAATGAACTACTTTAAAGAGTGATTTTATCATTCTGAGTAGTATTGTGATGTATGCCACTGATGTTGACATGTATAAGTAGTATGTATCGTCAATGGAAAGTGAAATGCTTGGAGGTAGAACATTAAGACGATCAAAGAAAATCGAACGAGAACAGTTATTGATTGACGTGGAAATGGAGGAACATTGAAGTCTGAGACATTTGATTGACATTTAGCAAATGAAGTATTTACTATATAGTTCTCAGATTTTACTAAGATATTCTGTAATTTTATGCTTTCATTAACTACAGTGTAGCTTATACTGTGAAGAACCTATCTCTGACAGAAAATATGTGTTCACAACCTCAATACACAAAATCTCCTCTAGTTGAACATTTTGTAGACCATCAACGTTGATTATCTATGTCGAATGATTGGAGGCCTACTCGAGTTCGACGAGAACGGTGTAAGGAACAAGCTAATTTGAAGTCACACCTCGCGACCAGTACCTTACATGGATTGCCCCATTGACGTATCAAGGGACCATGGATGCTCTGAAGACTGCACAACACAAAGGACGTTATTACAGGAACATAATATTTAAAATAGATACAAGCGAAAGTAGAACCACTGCCGCATTGGCTAATCCATGGCGTATGATTAACTGATGAGCGTTTATTGTCCTTGACCTTGACGATGATCAATGATCTGTTCGATATTTAGTGACCCAAATGCCGGATGATTTGGCTAGTGTTCAGTGACATTTCACTGACCCTACAATTTACAAATCGAATATTGATGAAAATACTGATTATCTTTAAACTGCTTAAACGTATTAGACTTGATAATGAAATTTTCCAAATCTGTAGTTAAGACATCATAACTTTTAGACATTACATTTATGCTGTTTGAGATACATAGGACGAATTCATAAACTTCTCTTAAAGTTAGACTTAAAATTCCAATTCAATAAAGTGAAATCTATTGTTCAACATTGAACTGACGATAACATCCAACTTGGTCATTAGTTTTTTAGCATTTTATCTTTACAAATTTTTGGTTGAGTGATATTTATTCATCATTATGCCACTGTACAACTAAGACATTTGTATTGATTCCAGAAATTTCTAGTTCAGTTATTGATACTTTTTAACAAGTATTCATGTTGAAATATATGAATATTGAGTGCCGATCTACTGGTTTAGAAGTTGATTACTGAATCTTGAGTCTGAAAGTGATACCAGCCGAACCATCGAAATTAAATTCATGGATAGAATCAATAATGTGGTCAACATGAGATTTAAAAGGATCATATTTAACCCCATTTTGATTTAGTTCAATTGTTGGGTTAGAGTCTCTATAATACGAACCTGGAAGTGCTTGAAATTATTTTTTCTTGACGCAACAGCGAGGTTTCAAATTGTTCAAAGGTAAATGACATCTTGATAAAGATAACCCCGTCACTAGTTTGTATATCTTGAACTTGTATTCTTAGTATATCGCGTAATACTTAGGCACTGAAACTCTAGAACCCTTCCAAGTCACAAAATCAGAAGATAGAAGACAAGTAGAAGGAATGTTAAGCCAAATAGTGTCAAAATAGTACAAAAATGTCATGTATTTATAGTTTTTGTCTGAAAGTAAATCGTCATTTCGGGCAGCCAATAGGCACACAGGGGGGCTTCTTATTCACCCAATAGGAGAGCTACACGTCAACATTCTAGAATGTTCCTCTAATGATGATTGGATGGAATGTCTTCGGCTCTTTCTGGGCTTCTTGAGGCTTCCTGGAGTTTGTCAACGAACCATCCTTACAGAAGGATCGAATTTCATATACACAAATGTGAAGCCTCATACTAAGACGAAACAACTTTCAAGTGCTCACAGATTTTCAGTTAATGATTTAAGCTAGGAATATATGGATAAATCTATGAAATCTATCCATCTATTTGCTACAATTTATATTCATTAAGCTAAAGATTACTATGAATGATTGTTTAAATACAGTAACTATACCAAACAAACCATACTTAATATAAAAATTCTTAACATTACTATCAAACCTAATAGTAACAAAATAAAAGTCAGCTGATTATGATTTCATGACAAGCATCAAGTTAAGAAAAAAAATATTCCGACTTCAAAGACCCGACTTAATGATATGTGCTATAAATTATTTTTTTTTTAATTTTTCCTGCAAAATCACAGACTGATTAAAGCAGATCATACGTTAATCAACGTCATAATACAAAGAGATTAAACGTAAAAAAAAATTGATGAAACAAAAAGAGAGTGTAGTTATTGATCACAATAGTGTTGGTAAATGATAGGTGAAATTTTCTTTTATAGTGAACTGTTCGAAATCATTTAGATAATAAATAATTTCTACAAACTTAAATTATTGAAATAGGCTGGCTTTAGTTAGATAAACATTGACACTAGGAGACAATAACAGTTTGTTTCTTATTATCACAAGAGGTTTTGTGGAGATTTAGTATTTTCATAGTTGAAAGCGTGAGTTAATTGAAGCTAGACCACCAGGGAAAACCTGGAAGCACTGCTTTAAGGCCGTTTCGTTATATTATGGGACTCCTCAGCAGTGCGTATCCACGACCTCGCCTCGCGATATTGGAACTCAGCACCTACCAGTCCCGCGCCAGAGCACTTAACCGATAGATCACTGAGCAGGTATCCTATGATGTTTATGTCTAACTCCAGTGGAGTTCAAACCACGTCTGTTGTGAGATAGGAACTCACTGAAGACAATTAGTGAACGGTTGATCAACTCCGTGGATTGGTTGAAGTTAGGCTTAAACATCATTCGATACCGACTCAGTGGTCTATCGGATAAGTGCTATGGCGCGGGATTGGTAGGTCCTGGGTTCGAATCTCGCGAGGTAAGGTCGTGGATGCGCACTACTGAGGAGATTGTTTCTTGTATATGTTTTCCCAGCTGTGGCTATTTGTAAGCTTTAATGATTCTCAATCAAAACTTTTGGCACACAAAATGAATTAACATATAATGATTCGTTATCAGCTAAGGTTACTTAACAAAGTCCATCTTATTTTTTGAACATTTTTTTGAATTTCTTCAATCTTAGCATCTTAATTCAACCTTAGAAACTGTTCTCAAAGTTAAACACTTGTTAGTACATGTTTATTATTAAAATAAGACCTCTGTAGTTAATTTTAGTACTCCTCAATCAGAAAATATCGTTAGGCTAGAAAGTTTCGAAATTATATCTATTTTACATAGTTGAAATCATGAGTCGATGTAAGCTAGACCACCATGGAAAACATGGAAGCACTGGACGGCCGTTTCGTCCTATTGTAGGACTCCTCACCAGTGCGCATCCACGATCCCGCCTCACGATTTTCGAACCCAGGACCTACCGGTCTCACGTGCGAGTGCTGATCACTTAACCACTGAACCGGCCGTCCAGTGCTTCCAGGTTTTCAATGTTGGTCTAGCTTCAATTGACTCATGATTTCAACTATAAAATTACCAAAATCTCCACAAAACCCCCTTCTGATTATATCTATTTATTACCTAAGCATTATCAAAACAAAATGCTTAGTAACTTTAATATAAATTATTGACCTATCCATTAAATAAATCAGTTTCTTACTGAGTCTTTACTTTCAATCTATCCTTAGTATTTCTTAAAAATAATGTATAGATCAACCTAAATTTTTTTTGAATAATGATAAAAACTAATTTTGGCATATATTTCATCAGCAACACGCTGTGTCAGGAATTAGGCGAAGATATCAAAAAGATGAATAACAATTGGAAACAACAGGATAAGATTGATAAGGACTGAGTTGGATGAAGAATGTTGGTGAGCAGAGGTAACAGGCGTATGTCAACAACATTTAACATAAAATGTAATTAACTAAATGTTGACATCGTATTCACTTAAATGAATAAAATGGGCTGAAACTTGTACTTAAGATAGACAAACTGTTGATAGTAATGGAATCTAGAACACATATTTCAGCCTGTTTGAGTTTCGTCAGCTAGATTTACCTGAATCTTATTATTGTTGCTTACGCTAATACTAGGATCCAGTAACTTTTACTTCAAACACAATTGCGTTAAGAAAGCTTTATATGACTATCCATTTAAGATTTACATATACTAATATAGATTGATCACATGTAACGTTAAATATCACACTGGTTTTACAAGTTAGTGGTTGTGTGTATTCAATTACTTAATGGATAACTCATTAAGTCTGAAAGAGATAAATAGTGAATTTGAGTCTTAGTGTAATACAAGTATATCTAAATAAGAAAAAAAATATGCGCTCTAGATTCCCATTCTAGCCACAACTGATAAATTTTAAATAACTTTTAAGAAGACGATTGTATCGAAACTCTTCCCCCAAGTTACACATAA